CAGCGCCAGGGTTATGGCGGTGGCCGTGCCTCCAATCACAGGGCAGCAGCGCACCTGTAAATGGAGAAATGCTGCCTGAGGGGGTGTGGTGACTTGTACAGGTGCATATGCTGGGGGTGAGTGGGGGGAGCAGCAGATAAACAGGTTGTAAGGGGCATTACTGAAGCTGTGGGCAACGTGTCTCCTCGTGGCTCCAGGTTGGAGAGGTTATGAACTCCACCCCGGATGTTTCAGTCTCGGGCGACATTGCGTGCAGGTGGATTCGGCGAGGAACTGGATAGTGCGCTGGCAGAGTGGCGTCATCGTCGGTGCTTCCAATAGACCCAGGGAGTGGCACATTCGCCACTCATTGTCGATGTTCGCAATGTGAATTCGGTCGGTCGCCCTGGTTAATACTGCTGGTATATAAACCATACAATACGCACCATCTGCTTCACAGTGGACGTTAAGATCCCATGACGTCATTTGAAAAGAAGGCCATCGTGTAGCGGCGTCGTGGTCCAAATTAGCCAAAAATAAAAAAATGACTCGCAAAGTACTGGATGTGTAAACACGACAGATCGCGCCCCTTCTGCGAAAACATAGCAGGACCCTCGCGAACGAGCCTTCATTTTAGATTAGATTTTCCTGTCAAAAGAAGTTTGGTAATAACAGATTCACAGAACGAGTGACTGGGGTACTGGAAGTGGCTTCCCAGGAGACCTGGTTTGGTCGAGTTGGTGCAGCAGCGTGATCATCATCGAACACTGCCTTCGTGCCCCAATCATTAATCCACCAGACTGCAACACCAGGGGTGGTGTTTGTCCCCGACTTTCCTGCCACACCTTGCTCTCGAATTATATTTGCACGTTTTTTTTAATTCGCGTCTTTCGTTTACCACCGTTAAATACCTCCCTTGTTGAGCAATACTCCTTGGCGGACCCTGTCCTCGTTCTGTCGCCTTCGTATTTTTTTTAAATCGGTTTGTTGTTGTGCCTGCGAACCCACGGATCTCCTCCATTGTATAATAGCTGGGGAAATAGCTAAACGGGATCAATACGTGTGACAAATAGAGTTAACTTAAACCCGTGGTTGGAAGGTTGCTCGGTGTTTGGCCATCGCTCCACCACGCCTGTAACCTCCACCACGCCTGTAACCTCCACCTTGCGCGATTTGCTCAATCCAATTTCGCTTAATAATGGCGCAATTGAACATTGGCAGTCGATGCAGTCGTCGCCCGTAACTGGGCTGGCACGTGGGCCATGGAAACCCGGTATCAGATCACAACTTTGGAGTCGAGCCGTGCCCTTGACAGGTGTTTCGCTCGGCTGTTGTGTAATGTTGGTAGAGTGAAAGCGAGTGTGCGTGATGCCACACTACAGGGGGCGGGGTGGGCGACGTGGCACAGTGTGCAGGGAGTGATGTGGGGTGTGTACAGAGGGTCCCTTTTGATGATGTCGAGTCGAGCGAAAGTCTTTTCATCAGCTGCGTAACGCTGTGGATCATACCAGACCTCTGTCGCTCCATACAAAGCTTTGGGTCCTCTCGGTTAAAGTTATGTCCTTCCTCCCTTCTCTATGTTTGCGAAACATTGAGCACTCTAAAGGAACATCTGCGCCGGTTTGAAACATTCAGACTTGCCTACGATGAATTCTGCATTTTGTGAGTTCACAGAACCTTTGAAAGATCTGGACGCAGTCCCATCGGTGAGCTCCTTCGGCAAGCGAGGCTGCGTTGGCTGGGTTATGTAGCGCGCATGCCCAAGCAGCTCTTTGGCCGGATAGAGGGGGTAAACGCGCACAACAGGGACTAGAGAAGAGATGGACTGATGTGGTACAGGATGTGGATCTGATTGGACTTGTCGATAACTGGTGTCAGTATTGTAAAGATTGGCCTCTTGCGGAGGTTCGTGATGGTCGCCGCCGGTGAGTTGCCAGTCAACGCTCACGAGCGGAGCGCCGGATGGCTAAAACTCAGAGTTGGCAGTGGGGAGCACAGTCGGTGCATCTGCCAGTCATCTCGATTAACCCATGGCACCTCGGTCTGTTCTGTGACCTGCCAGGGGGCCTTCGACCCTTCACGTGGCCTCAAAGTGCACCTTAGCCCGGGCACAGGCGCCGTGATGACATCACCGCCACTTAGTGGTGAACCACAGCTGTCGTTGAGAGGTGGGGTCAGGCCGTGGGTGCGGGGTGTTTACGCGTCAACGCGCAGAGCGGGAGTTTGGCGGCTCGGGGTAACGATCACCGGGAAATATTGACGCCGCGAGGGCCTCGGTGACGCTCGCGTTTCGCAACCCGCGCAGCTTCCGCGCCAAGCTCGCGGGAAAGGCCGGCGCGACGACTCGCGCCGGCAGCCCCTCCGATGCGTCCCCGACGACCCACGCCACGCGGGCAGCGCCGGCTCCGAGCCATCGCCATCTCGCAGAGCGCGGGGCCGCCACCACGTGGGGCACCGCCGCACCACGTGGGGCACCGCCAGCGCGCAAAGCATCACGGGGACCACACCGCCGCCATGAGGCGGTAGTGGGGCAATTGGTGACGACACATCCGGACAACGGCGTGTGATGTCACGTCCGGTCTGCAACCTCATCCCTCCCACGACCCCCCACCCCACAGATTCCGGGGGCGGGGCTCGCGCGGTGGGGTCGCGATAGAAGAGGGCGGGGTCCAGTGGGGGCGGGGTGGGGGTCGGGCGGGGCCAGGGCCCGAGTGGGAGGGGTCAAGCGGGGGCGGGGCCAGAGCCAGGAGGGACTATGCCGGGCTCCCATTGGTCGTCGCTCTGCGCGTGGATCGCGAGCTGAGTTCGCTGCATTACCATCATCGGCCGTGGTCAATCCACTGCTGGATGAAGGTTTTTTTTTGGGCTGCCACCACACTCCCCACATTCCTGCGATGTTAACAATCCACCTAGCACCTGTACACGAGCTGATTTTAATTGCTACAACTGTCCACTCGGATGCGTACAATTCATTGGCTGCCTCTCCGTAATTTAAAAAAACAACCATCGTCCATCATCCTTAGTAGCCGTGTCGTGTATCTTACAATCCCAGCTAACTGGATACGCATGATGCCTTTTACCTGCGTGTGTGTCTCAATGCAATTTCAGGCATTCTATCTCCACGCTTCCTAACGCAATTTGCAGTGTTCCGTATGTCGGTTAATAACCATGTGTCGCAACCATATGTAGTAACAGCAGGCAGTGCGCTCTGATTAAACAAGTCTTGCTTTACAAGCATCAAATCGTTCGTGTCCACAAGCCGTGATGTCGATTCGGCAAGGCTCGGGTAACTTAAGATAATTGCAGGACTTCACAAAGAATGCCGTAACTTGGGCCAAAGATAAAACTCGATTAAAACTAAAGCTATGTACACCGAGGTGACTGAGTAAATCATTGTTGGAGGGGCCCAGTGGGACCGCAGCAGAGTGTCTACCTAAGGCAAGCAAGCCCTGGGTCAGCGTGAGCACTGTGATGGTCTAGGATTCACATTTTATATTGAAAAGTATCAAACTTAGGCGCCCAAAGAGAAACGGTCTAAACTAAGCGTTTGCTACTGTAAAAGACTGAGCACAAAGATGGAGAAAACAATTTCAAATTGTGCGCAAATAAACGTGGAAAGATGAATAATCTATGCGTTTTTGTTCACTGGTGGCTGAGATGTTAACTACTTCGCCTGGTGTACGGGAGGTCGTGGGTTCGACCCGACCCTGACGCCTGTTTTATGTGCAGTTTGCATGGTTCTCTCCCTGAAATCGCGTGGATTTTTTCTCCAGGTCCTCCGGGTTTTCCCTCTACATTTAGAATGTACACGGGTTTAGAGTATTGGGCTGCTATAAATGTTTCACGTGATGGGCCACTTCGTTGAGCTACCATTTGTGAAAGCCAGGTCGCTTCTGAAAAAGCCGTAGCTCGGTGAGTCTTACCTGGTACAATAAAAATAGTAAAACAATTAATTGTTTCGATTTAAAGCTTTTGTGACTGCAAGGATTCATCTTCTTTGGTTCTTTCGGTAAAGTCACGTAGAATGAGAATAAAATAATAAATTAATAAAATTAAATTACACAATGTAATTCTCACGACGTTTCGGCCACAACACAAGTAGCCTTCATTAGGTAAAGGGACGAGACTGTCTGGAGCTCCAGCGCTGTCCTCCAGACAGTCTCGTCCCTTCACCTGATGAAGGCCACTTGTGTTGTGGCCGAAACGTCGTGAGAATTGTTATTTTATTCTATTAATTTATTATTTATTCTCATTCTACGTTCCTTTTACCGAAAGAACCAAAGAAGACAATTAATTGTGCTTGTGTACCACCGCAAAACTCTCCTTAACTATTCCCTCCCGTCCCCCTGCCACCATAACTGCACCCCTACTTTATTTTAACCACACTCATCTTATGCACAAGTTTATAGTTGTAAAGCGTCTTGGAATAATGCGCTGTAAAACAATCTCTAAAGGATAAAGGTAGTCGATGCTCAAGAACAGTGAGGGAATACGCCGAAGGGGACGTGTACGGAGGAGATGGAGCGATTACATCGGCTGTAGAAGGCTTTCATCCAGCAGGAGTTTGATGACAGCCGGTGATAACCAACTGATGGATGAAAGCCTCCCCAGACGCCCTGCAGTCACGGGTAGACGAGGCGGGGGCGAATGGTCGAGATTTAAGTAAAGATGCAGCCCTGCAATGTCTTCATATCGTCGCTGCTGGCGAAAAGGGGGCCTCCGTTTGAGAGAGCTCTGAAGAGAGTCTCTTGTTTAGGGGCACATGGGGCCCACGGCGACCACATTCGCTGTCCGACCTCGCAGACATCGGGCGTATCGACAAGAAGAGAGGCGCCATCACAAGCGATGTTGTAATCGACTCTTAGAAGTAATTCGTCGATTATTATTGATCCCCATGCTGGGATTGGGCCGCGTGTTGGGAGCGGGGGGGCGGGCCCGGGCGCAGCTCGGAGGCCTCCATTGGCCGAGGCTGAGCGGTGCGCGCAGCCTCGCGGAGAGGGGGGGGGGGCAGTGTAGGCGTGTCCGCGCTCTCCATTGGCCGAGGCGGCGCGGAGGGTGTGTTCTGACGGTGTTGTGGGCGAGACCTCGTCGCCCATTGGCTGTTGGGGACGCGAGAACCCGGCGCGCGCGTCCGCCTTCGCGCACAGCGGCGGCGAGCGGAACATGGCGACGGCGCGGCCCGCGCTGCTCCGACTTTTGCTGCTGCTGCTCCTGCTCCTCCATTGCGCGGCGGGGCTCTCGGAGAGTGTGCAGGCCGATTCGGGGCCCTGGGCCCTCGGAGCGGTGGACGGCAGGCCGCGCTTCGTTGGCGTGCGGCTGGAGGATAAGGGCCAGGGCGCCTACGTGCAGGACGGCATCATCAAGGTGCAGGAGCGGAGCCGCGCGCGGCTGCGTCTCTTCGTCTACCGCAACGGCAGCGGCGACGGCGACGGGGGAGTCGGCGGCGGTGGGGAGCCGTGGCCGCCGCCCGCAGAATGGCTGGCCTTCGCCGACGCCGAGCAGGTGCAGCAAGGCCCAGGGCCCGAGGCATGTCCTCGCAGCTCGGACATCACGTACGTGGGCTATCTCGCGCGCAACGAGTACTCGGTGGTGGTCGAGGTGGACGTGAAATCTCTGCGCAAGAGCGAGACGGAGCGATTGTTCTACCTATGCACGAAGGGCATCGCCGGCCCCGCGGGGCTGGAGACGGGAGACAACTGGGTGGCGCACATGGGAAACGACAGCCGAATCGCCATGGTGGAGGAGAGGACGTCCATGCTGCCGCGCTGGCTGCAGATCCTGTTCATCGCCGTCCTGCTCTGCCTCTCGGGGATGTTCAGCGGCCTCAACCTGGGCCTCATGGCGCTCGATCCGATGGAGCTGCGCATCGTGCAGAACTGCGGCACGGCCAAGGAGAAGGCTTACGCCAAGAAGATCGAACCCATCCGCCGTCAGGGAAACTACCTGCTCTGCTCGCTGCTTCTGGGCAACGTGCTGGTGAACACGACGCTCACCATCCTCCTGGACGACCTCATCGGCTCCGGGGTGGTGGCCGTCATCGCGTCCACCGTGGGCATCGTCATCTTCGGCGAGATCGTGCCGCAGGCGCTGTGCTCCCGCCACGGCCTGGCCGTGGGCGCCAACACCATCGTGCTCACCAAGCTCTTCATGATCCTCACCTTCCCCGCGTCCTTCCCCATCAGCAAGCTGCTGGACGTGGTGCTGGGCCAGGAGATCGGCACCGTCTACAACCGCGAGAAGCTCCTGGAGATGCTGAGAGTCACGGACCCCTACAACGACCTGGTGAAGGAGGAGCTGAACATCATCCAGGGCGCCCTGGAGCTGCGCGTCAAGACCGTGGAAGACGTGATGACGCCGCTCAAGGACTGCTTCATGCTGAGCGCCGACGCCGTGCTCGACTTCGGCACCATGTCCGAGATCATGCAGAGCGGCTACACGCGCATCCCCGTGTACGAGGACGAGCTGAGCAACGTGGTGGACCTGCTCTTCGTCAAGGACCTCGCTTTCGTCGACCCCGACGACTGCACCCCGCTCAAGACCATCACCAAGTTCTACAACCACCCGCTGCATTTCGTCTTCAACGACACCAAGCTGGACGCCATGCTCGAGGAGTTCAAGAAAGGTGAGGTCACCACCACCACCCTCCTCCTCCTCCCCCCGGTCTACATTGTGTTGTGTCTCCAACCCCCCTCCCCACCTAGGCAGGCACGGCTTAATTTTTAACCGGGTCTGTCCAGATCGGCGACAAAAATATTTTCTCCACCACCGGCATACCACATCCAGTATACATGTCGCCATGCGCAGTGGCGCTTAGTCAGGTGCCTTGAGTCTATTGAAGATAAAAGACGTCATGGCCAGAGCTGTTGATGTCACTTTCTTCACCATCGTCTATTGGCGACTGCAAAAAAAATCTGTGATAATGAATCCCCTTGCCCTGAGGTGCCTGGGGTGGCCATGCCCCCCCTCCTCTTCCCCACCGCCTTCCTCCCGTGAGCCTGGACCCCCTCTTGTTTTTGACCCCCCCCCCGTGTTAATGTCCCCCCACCACCCCCGTGTTAATGTCCCCCCACCACCCCCGTGTTAATGTCCCCCCACCACCCCCGGTGCGTGCGAGTGCCGCCCGCCGCCCTCATTGCCTATTTAACCACAAAACACCGCAGTGCGTTTAGCAACATCTCTGAAGACGTGGAGAAGACGTGGGGGGGGGGTCCCACGGGCCCCCTTGTGTGTGCATCGCTGGGTTTGGATGGGTACAGGTGCGGCTGTGCGTACAGGTGTAGTCGCAGGTACGGCCGTGTCGAAGTTTTGCTGAAGTGGACGCAAGCTGTTACCCTGCAGGCCGGCTCTCTCGTTGAGATTGTATCGAAGGAGCGTTAATGAATGACGTCGTTAACGAGAGCAAACATTGTATTAATTGAGCGGACTAATTAACGCACGGGAGTATTAATGACCGGGAGTTGTAATGAAGCGAGGCGGGCGGGGGTGGTAGTAACGGGTTGGATGTGGTCGCTGTTGGTGGGGACATGTGGTGGTGGGAGACGGGGGGGGGTCTGTCCGGGGGGTTGTGCCGGGGTTTGCTCGGCCCCTGTAACGGGACGGTTCCCCCATCGCGGCGACGACGACGACGCTGTGCAGGGGATGATGACGACGACGCTGTGCAGGGGATGACGACGACGACGACGCTGTGCAGGGGATGACGACGACGACGCTGTGCAGAGGATGACGACGCTGTGCAGGGGATGACGACGACGCTGTGCAGGGGATGATGATGACGACGCTGTGCAGGGGATGACGACGACGACGCTGTGCAGGGGATGATGATGATGACGACGACGCTGTGCAGGGGACGACGACGCCGACGCTGCTGTGCGGCAGCAACCGCTGCCATGTTGACGGCGTTGATGCGACGCATATTTAAATAATGAATGCCGTGGCTGCTCCCGTATTCGGGACCCGCGATGGGGATTTTACAGCTTGGGCGTGTTTGTGTTTTGGTGACTGTTTACCCAGGATACAAAGTTGCACTTAACTAATATTGCAACACTATTCTGGAAAATTACACGAAAGGGTTGCTCATTAATAACCGTATCGTAATTGCCTCTTAACGATTAGGTAGCCATTAAAATAGTGTGTCTGCAATACTTGTGATCTCTCGACCTGTGGGGCGTAGTTATTGGGCGCACGTGCCAGCAGCTTGCTTGCTTGTCCCTGTGCTGGCACTGGGCCACCTACGCCCACGGAGCCGCGGCCCCAAGGGTGGGTTGTTTGAGCCACAGTAGGGGTCAACCAGCAAGCAGATGGCAGCTGCCTTTCACGATCCTCGTCTGGTGAGCCCTCAACACAGCGCTGTGGTGACAGCGGGTGAGGAGGGGAGCGAGATCTTGTTAAAGCGCCGGGAGTGACTCCGGTCCTCATTCTTCAATTGACAGACGTTCCCATTCATCCAGTGTTGGGTGAAAATATGCCACTGACCCCCCCCCCCCCCCCCCAGTATCAACCGTGGGGCAAATTATTGAAGCGATGTCATTTTTCGGTGACCAACGTTGCATATGACTTGAAATGCTGCTTAATCACGCTGGGTGGCGGCTGGAGATGATGACCGCGCTCACAGTGTGCAGTGGGCAAGTGCGCGTCGGGCGAACCTGAGGAAACTGCAGCGGCATGAGCCTCCCGCTGGCGAGGAGCGTGCGGGTGCCTCGGCGTGCGACTCGCTGGGACCCTTCCTGTTGTTGCTCCCGGTTCAGATACCCACTTCCCAGCGATAACAAAATTTCACCGAAAAACGGCGGCGTGAATGCGTGTCAGTGCCTGGGAAGAAAATAGACAAATAATTCAGACAAATCAATTATTTTTAAACAGGAACCTTGATTTTGACAGCCGGTGATATCACTTTGCAATGTTACAAAAACATGCCCCGTCTTGTGGAATGTTTGCCTAAGTGGCTTTCCCAAGCTCTGTCAGTCGTTAGTAGTTTCCTCTGTCACGTATTCCTGGGCCATTGTTACCTTGTTCAGCGAAGGTGAGAGAGGAGTCGGGATCCCAGTAATTAGTTCAATTTGGTTGTCCCAGACAAGGTGGTCCAATGGCCCAGAGTGGATATTTCACTTAACAAATAACTACCTGGGTGGAGAAATTGTTTTTTTTTTAAACCTACCTGCGTTATGTTGGTAATCTTTTTAGATGTGGGAACCATTTTCAAGGTATCGCGCTAATTAGCCGTCATTGACCTCCTAAATAATTCGGTAGCATTAATGTTTATGGACATTTGGTGCTGCCAATTTCTGCCCTGGCCCACGGGCTGCAGAACACTAAAGTGAGGACCCTCTGGGTGGGCCTTGTACACTTCTGGAAAGATACTGACCCTTGTGTACATGTACAAGGTTGGCAGAATGGTTTAAATCAAAAATTAATTGATCGATTAGTCATGTATTTGGATCTGCAAAACATTTACTGTGAAATTGCTGAATCTGGAGAAAACATTAAATGTATGCACCAGTGAGTCGAAAGAGTAATTTTCCAAATTATTTTCATTAATTATTCATTAAAGATCCTCACTTAATCATGTGCTGTTATTGTGACATTGTTCAGTAAAAAGTGGAAATCGGTGTTTCATTAACAGCGTCCTTCTTGACAACGCGCCAATTATGCATATATGGATTATTGTAACAGGTTAGGTATGTAAACCTTATGTAAGAGGCAGGGGAGATGAGGGCTGGACTGCCGTGCGGTGCGAGTCTCCATGTCAGGAGTTCTGCTCTTAACTCAGACTTGTGACTAACCCGAGGCCTGGGCTGGGAGACTGAGTGTGCAGTTCGGGCAGCCAAACCTCCTCCCTGCTTCGTGTGGCGCAGTGGATACACAAGAACCACCTGGGTTTGAATACTGACTCTAGTGCCTTACTGTGCGCAGTTCGCATGTTCTCCCCCTGTTCTGCGTAGGTTTCTTCTGGTTTCCGCCCATGGCTAAAAAAACACGCACACAATGTAACTGGTTGTTGGCTAAAGATTCCAATGCTGAAATTTTTACCTGCAAATCACCCAATTGGGATTCCACACAGCAGCAACATCATCCCCTTTTGTGGAAACTTGGCAGGACCCTCCTGAAAGAGTCTTGAGACAAGGAAGTCCTCCTTGGGGTAAACAAGTGTAATAATTAATAATAATTTTTCCGCAGGCATCCACGATGCCCATCCGCTCCATTTCACATCTTTTGGAACGCGGCGCCCACTGTGTATCACAGCACCCACTCTGTGTATCACAGCCATAGAGACGTTTGCTGCTGGTTACTATGTCGATGCGTGTCCTGTTGCCGATGCCCAGACTTTTAAAGGAAGACGCAGCCCAAAGAACCAAACAGCTCGTGTAGCTGCACACCTCGGCATTGCATCAGACAGCCGCAGGGGAAGAACTTCTAAACGTAAATAAAACTGTATTGATATATTAAGGAACGTAGATGGACCTGGACAGGACACATCGCAAGGCAGGATGGTGGTCTGGATAGGGCGGATGACAGAAGGGCATACTAAGACTGAATGCATCCAAGAGGACAATTGTCATGGAGATGGAGCGATGATATGGATGGTAGCAGCATTGGGACCGTGAGAGATGGCAGTGGCGTGGGGAATCTTTGATCCAGCAGTGGATATATTGGCCGATGATAATTAATTTGCTTCCCCTTGTCAATCCACTACTGGATGAAGGCCTCTCTTGCTTATCAGTCAGTGCTATTGGTAAATAGACACCAGTTATGTCCACCTAGTAATTTCACTGAACCGTCATTTTTGTATGATGGCAGTACAGTCGACTTTCTTATCGTTAAGCTTGTTTACACAGAATAACCTCACGGAGTCTCAAATCTCATTCGGGAGGATCCTGCTACGTTTTTGGTTATGGCAAGACTATATGTTTTCAAGGAAATTAATTTGTGATAATATTTTTTTGTTGCAAATTTGGACTGACACTGGCATGCAATGGCTTACTCGTCTTCGAATTATTTTACGGGATCTTTAATGTTCACTGAAGCAGACAGCAGGTAGTGTTTTTATGGTTAATAAACTCGTAGCATTAACTGGTGTGGCCTGACGGGATTCGTACCGCAAACCTTCGCAACAAGTGGCGGACACTTTACCACTGGGTGACGTCGCCGCCCCTGACTTGGATCGTTTGTGCTGTGCGGTGGCGTACACGGGTTGAACCCGTGACCGTGGTTGCCTTTTGAGCGATGCGTTAAACGCCGCGGGTTCCAGATGTGCCCCGATAGGGTAGGCCGGCCGAACTGTGTGGCGGGAATTGCGACACGCGCGTGGGACGACGGCGTGTTTTGTTTTCCCAAGCTCGAGGCTTTTCCCGAGGTAACCTTGCTTTGGACCGGGTGCCAGGGCCACAGTATCACAGAGCCGACTTAAGTCAAAGAATGCCAAAAATGCAAGCGAGACTAAAACAGTCTGGGAAGGAAATGTCATAAGGAAGCCGTGTCTGCGTTGTTTATTGTGGTAAATTTAAACGTAATGAAACCACATTTAGCTTCGCTACCCATGGGACAAGCAGGAAATGATGGTGGAGCTGTTAATGCGTGTGGCGCGGTACTTGTTGCTCTATTCGGCTGCTATTCCTGCCCAAGCAATTATTAGCAGAGCCTCTTGTTTTCTCGTCGGTGGAGAGCGGAGACGGTGCCTTTTGCCACTTTCCCTGCGCCGAGGAGCAACTCCATCCCGTCCAATCGGATGTCGAGAGGGATTCGGTTGTTCTCCTGGCACCTGCAAAGTGTCCGGGTTTGGGCTCTTTAGGGAAGGTAGAATCTAGCGGGACTGGTACGAGCGGCCACTTCGTTGGCGTTTTGGCTCCGAAGCAAGTCATTCCAGTGCTGCCCTGTGCAGTCATTCAGGGCTCCCGATTCCTTATTTCTTTCTCAAAGTAAGAACTGTGCACTGCTCGCATCACTTCTGGGCCCGTTTGGCTCTTGTGATGCCGTTCTGTAGAGCTGGGAGAGCTGCCTGCTGCCGCCGGGAGCGTGGCGCTTGTTGAGTGGCAGGGTGGTCACACAATGTAGGGGGCACAGCTGCTCGCCTCTATTAAATTTAACCTCGATCGTCGCTCCGTTCGTCTCTACAGTCCTGTGACAGTGCCCTCCCCACGGGGCCCACGCGTGGCACCTGCGTTAGTCACGCGGACATTGATGTGTCCCGCTGGGCCGCTCTATGATTTACCCCCCCCCACCCCCTTAATCAACGCATTCTGTTCAGGTACCTTGCTGCTGAACTTTGACCTGGGTGCTTAAAATATCACTGCGCATGCGGTGCCTGGTGGTCTACCAGGGCCGCTTCATGACCGGTGGTACATTTTGAGAGAGGGACGAAACCCAAAATGTTCTCTAGAATTGTGAATGAAAACATGGCTCGCTGACGGTGCACGCTGCCACCACCGAGGTGGGTAGGAAATGTTGTCATGTTTGCGTTCGTGGTTGGTCGTGGCTGCGGCACAGTATCACGCCGCTGGCAGCGTGCTGCCAAGTGCCTCGCGGTGTGTACATAAAAAAAAAACCCTTCAAATACGCCTCAGGAACCTTGGCAGACTCCCCTCTGTACAGTGTTAAAATGCTTTCTAACGTGACAAGCCAGGGCACGCAGTCAATATAAAAAATACAACAGGCACTGTGCGGTGAGGTGAGAGCAGTGTGTTTTTGAAGTGCCGGGTGGTAAAGAGTGCGTTCTCATGAGTCCCAAGTCCGTGCCGCTGTCATGCAGAACTCGTAACGGGACAGTTTAAGAGGCGTTAAACATCACCGACTTGACCCGTGAATTAGTGGGGAGGAGGGGGGGGGGGTTTGTTTATTTACATAGTTGCGTATTTTCGGTGTTTATTTTTCATTCGGCTCTGTTACAAAAGTGAAATCTGCACAGAGCTGTGGGCTGCGCAGCGCCAGTGCGGGGCCCTCGCTGTGATGAGGAGGGGAGCCTCGAGCGCGCCCGCTCACTCTCAGGTGCGTGTCGCATGTTTGAGGCCGGATAAGATCGCTGTGTAAGCACCGCTTAATCTACGCTCGCAGTCCACAAGCGCAGCCACTGTTTAGCATAACTCGCTTGCAGTTACAGTGGCGGCACGGGGAGGGGGGGGGGAAGCGGTGGGAAGAAAAAGTGAGATACGTATCGTGGTCAGCTTCTCCTTCCACACGACGTGCCATTCTCTGCGTTGCGTCGTTGCTGTGTAAATTTGTTTTCCGACTTTTGCATGTGCTTAACCGGAACCTGCTGCTTAACCGGAACCTTGCGCTACCTTTGTTCAGGGACGAGATGGCGCTGCTGGCGGTGTTTGTTTGTGCACAGTGCCACCTAGCCGGCGCCAACCCCTTGGTCTTGAGGGACGTCACCCCAGCGAATGCCACAAGCAGCAGCAGCATGATCAGCGCTGTCCCCTGTGTCTTTGTGTCACGTCTCACGACACTCTACGTGGAACCCAATTAAGTGGCGTTTTGTTGCTTGGAAACACCCCGCTCCTATTTAGGTGTTAGGTGCCATACGTAGCCAACCGTGCTCATCGGAGGTGGGGAGGAAGGGCAACAAACCAAACTCAAAAAGCAGTTCTAATTAAATGAGTTTTCAATCTAGATGATTTAAAAGCACATAACTCGAGCAGCTTACTAATATGCCAATGGTTATAATGACACCAATTCAGATTTTTTTAAAAATATAATTACTCACATGAGGTTGGCTGTCACACCACTGCTTGTCAGCTGCAGAACATGATTCCCGCATGGGGATTATATGTTTTGACCTCGCACAATTGTGACAGATGACCGACCTTTATAAATTTGTGGCCCAGATGACTCTCTTTTTCCGTGAAGGGTCTTTTTCCACATCAGCTGGCAGCTTGGGGTAGGCCCAGGCAAATGCGCCCCACAGATACGGCTCTTTAATGGCCTCCCATTAAAGCTGGGAAGGCTGCGGTGGCGCCCAGGCCGCGCAGTTGTGGTGAGCGCGTGGGAGCTTCGCGCTGCCCGTTACACAACAGCCGCCGGTGTTGTGCTCTTACTCACTGTCTGGGGCTTAGAGACGCACTCGTGATTTACTTTTTTCAGTCCGGCATCTTATCATCATTTTCATATTTGGTTGGGCCAGAGGTGGACAGAGCAAATTTTTCTCTTGCATTTGGCGCCAACCTCCTTAACTTGCTGGGGTTAATCCGTAAACGGGTTATTTGGGGGGGGGGGGGGGTTGAGGGGTGGGATCGGACTGCGCACCCTCGGGAGAGAGGGGCGATGTGAACTTACTTGTGCACCCAACGAGAATGGGGTTGGAGTTTTCCACTCTGCACTGAGCCCCCCCCCCCCCCCCCCCGCACGCTCATTAGCACGCCTGATATTCGGAAAATCTTGCAGGGGATGGAAAAAGTGGCCATGGTATGCAGCGGTTGGAACGGTGGCACGTACGGCTCGCCCCGGGAACTTTCTTTGGATGGAGCGGGGTGGGGAGACACGTAGCATCTGCTTGGTTTGATCTTGGCCGTGCTGTGCGACGTTACCTGTGATGAGTGTTACTTTTGTCCAATTCCCCCCCCCCCCGCCTCCCCGGTTGATTACCCGGCTATGTCGATCCTTCCGTACATTTGCCATCGTAAACTGACTTACTTTCTTCTCCCTTTTGCTGCCATGTGCACGCAAAAAACACGTTCCGTTTTCAGGTAAGTCTCACCTGGCCATCGTCCAACGAGTGAATAATGAGGGGGAGGGTGACCCCTTCTACGAGGTGCTGGGCATTGTTACCTTGGAGGACGTTATCGAGGAGATCATCAAATCCGAAATCCTGGATGAAACCGACATGTACAGTGAGTCGCAGCACCTGCTGGAATCACCCTCCCTCCCCTCCTCCCTGCCCCTCCCTACTTCTGCTGCCCCCCACAACACAGATCACCATCGCCCTGACTGTACAAGTATTGCATTTAACGTCCACAAAAGATTCTCAAGTAATTAAATTGTGCGCATGCAACATTGTTATCCATTTCGTAACCAAAACAATTCGCCAAATAAAAATAGACGAGACATGAATGACTTGCTGGTCCAAAAATAGGCGGGTACCCGGAAGGATAACACAGAGGCGCTCGGCCACAATGAACCAGTTTAACTCGAAATAATGTTCACCTCCACCCTGCCGCTCCACCCTTTGCTGTGCCCTGCAGCTGACAACAAGTCCAAGAAGAAGGTTCTGCACAGAGAGCGCAAACAGGACTACTCTGCGTTCAAACCGTCGGAAAGCCAAACGAAGATTAAGATTTCTCCTCAGCTGCTGCTCGCCACGCACCGCTTCCTTGCTGCAGGTGCGTCAGGGCCTGGACGGGGGGGGGCCCATGAGGCCACTTGGGATCTTCGCTTCGCCGATTTAAAGATTTATTCTAATGCGGAGTGGCGCAAATTATCTGAACTTTTTTCCTTAACTTTTGTTGCAGCTGCCGCACACCTAGGCTGCGTGTCCTGGGCTGTCCATTGATACCGGTTCATAGCTTCGTTATGAAGGAGACTTTAAAGTGACTTTTAGGCGTGGTGCATCGAGACCATTTGTTGTTTCCGCCACCCTTTTTTGCTACAAATTACTGCAGTGACATCGCTAGGGTGGTGTCCCGGAAATTCGCTTTAAATTGGGATTTTTTCTTTCAAAACTGAAGGTTCAAACTCGTTGCCAGCTAGGACCCTCGGCCTGGGATTTTGTCTGCAAGAGAACATTTAGTGGCCAAACAACAACATTGCAGTTTGTTAACCACAAATGGTATTCTAATCCGAAACTGTTTAGAATGGGTAAACGGTTTTGATAGTGAAGCCCACGAATGCATCGACCATGCGGTCCTGGCCCCGTCGCCGCCGCTACCCCAGGCCCCACGTTGACCCCATCCTCTCTGCCGTCCGTCCGTGCGTCCACCCCAGAGCTTGAGCCTTTCAAGCCGGTGCAGGTATCGGAGAAAATCCTCCTGCGGCTTCTCAAGCATCCGAACGTGTTTCAGGAGATCAAGTTTGACGAGAAGAACCGCAAGGCTCCAGAACACTACCTCTATCAGCACAACAAGCCAGTCGACTACTTCATTCTGGTGCTGCAGGTACTGCCCCTCGTCACTTCCTCAAACCTAGGAGGTTGAGACTCCTCCCTGCCCCCTCCGCCCCCACCTTGGGTAATGAAACCAGCGGTGCACTGTAGGGTGCTGTGTATGGCAGAGTGAAATCTGCTGTTGCCCATTTCCTGACATTAATAGAAAAGAATTGCAGCTGTCATTGGTAATGATTGAAAAACGTCCCCGTTAAAGGCAGGAATGAGCAGAAGGCTTTGTTATCGGGCGTTAATGTCAGGAGTTTGGCGAGAGGTCATGTTAGTGGAGTGTGGGCTAGGAAGCCTTAATCTTTGAGCATTATACTTAGAAAACCTTTGAAACGCTACCTAAGCTGGCCATACAAAGAGAACGCGCCCACAATGGAGCGTGGCGGGGTCTGACGTTACTGAAAATCGCTTGTCAAATTTGGAATTTTGTGCAATTGAGGGCCCCGTTGCAGTGGCGCCAACCTCCAATGCGGACTTTGGCGCGCGAGTGTGCGCCGCTGTCTTGGTGCATCCTGCTGCGCACGTGACTGTCCTGCTCGTTACAACTGACCTCCGATGTTGATTTCCCTCCTTACACATTCTGTGGTGCTGGCTGACATGAGCAGAGCCTCACAATGGGTTATGTACAGCATTGTTTTCTGATAGGCGTTCCATTCTACTTGACACAGACGGTTCGACACCATCAGATTAGCACGTCCAGCAGCACAATTTGTCAACGCAAAAATGAAGATGTTTAACCCGAGACATTCGTTAGTGGCTTGACAGACGAACTGTAGTGGTTCGTAACTTAACACCTTGGAGTTTAGAGAAGCTCCCCTGTTAATAAGCACTCGCGATGGTTACATTTTTGCTTCTCAAGTTTAAGTTAAGTTTGTTTCACCTGGTGAGAACTCAAGAGACCAGGATGGCCTCATTTGCAGAAATGACAAAAGCAACGGCATTAAACAAGTACTAAAATTAAGCAAATAGTAATTAGAACAAAAACAACTTTCGGAGAAGAAATCGAAAAACAGTGCACACGCATGAATCGGTAAAAAATTAAATGAATTTTCTGTTTCAATAAAGTTGGCTTGGACGAATTCCTTTTAAAAAGCATGTAAAGTAAGTTTCAGAAACCATTAGCATCAATTTCAGGCAATTATTGCACGGATATGTTAGGAGACGGATATATGTGGTGAACTTTTGAGTGTGCGTGTAAGGGCGCATGTGTCTCTGAACAAGGGGAGCGGTAGGGTAGCGGTTTGCGCGCTGCGCTACGAACTCGGAGATCTGAGTTGGATTCCTGCTCATGGCCAACACTAATGACAATTATCTGAACCGGTCCTGAGCTTCCCCTAGGTCGACTCACCTCAAATGAGTACTTGGTGCGGTGTGTAAACATCGCTACTGAGGAGACAAAGGCGACTGGGCGTGGTGCTGGCCACCGGACCCCCTCGTGTCCCGTGCCGGCCTTCGTAGGTGCTCGCTTACAGCACTTGCCCCAACAGTTTGTTAAGGCTATATGGGGCGTCTTTGTCTTTGTCTCTGAACAAAGGGCAAAGTGGAGGTGGAGGTCGGCAAGGAAGGAATGAAGTTCGAGAGCGGGGCCTTCTCATATTTTGGGATCCCCATCCTCACCTCATCCCCGCCAACAGGTACGTGCCCCCCCCGGCTGCAGCGTTCGCTCACCATGACACAGAAGCAGGAGGGGTTTTCGGAGCTTCACTCATGAGGGCGGCCGCCCACACCCCCACGACGCAGCAGGGCGTGCACGGCACCTCCATCGGTTACTCACAGATGGAGGTGCCACTGTGGAGGACGCGTAATGCTGTGGTCCTTAAGCGTTAAGCTGCCATCATCTTTGATAAGAACAACAAAAAAATGAGTTCTAACAGATTCATTCATTCATTGTCTTCTTCGTGTGTTGTGGGGTAGAAGAATGCATGAAAAAAGGAACATGTAGACTGATGGAAGCTTGATGCTTACAGGCCAGAGCTTCACATGTCTCGCTCTGTGGCTCACGAGTTGAGATGCCACTGAATGCATCCATTGATATGTTGGTAATAGTCTTGCTTAGCTATGTCATACTTGGATATGAACGGTACGATGTGAAAGTAATTTGAGATGGTGGCAAGTGCCCTCGTCCGTAGAATAGCAGTGTGAGGATGTAGGCCAGAACAACAGTCCTTCGGTTTAGTCATCGGCTATTAAAGACGACAAGCCGTGTTAACTATCTCTGTTGGCCCTGGGTTTGGCTTTTTGCCGTTTTGGGCATTCAGCAGACAACACTCACTTGTGTCGGAGACATCAACTGAACACGTGTTCAGGGCTCCTGTACTAGCAGGCGGCTGGCTGCCTGTGTGGGGCTGTCGCCAACTTGCCTTGCTTCGTGCCTCATTAATTCTCCTCCTGCGCTCTTTGTTAAGTGCCACCTCCATGTCTGCTTGCACTCTGTAGCGGCGCCCCCGGGGCGGTCACTGCAGTCTGACCCCGACGCCATTTCATTCCCACTGCCGCCGTTTGGAAAGTGCCTGCCCGTGCACCGCGCGGCGTACACACATGCGTGCGCGGGTGAGGCTGGGCAGCGTGCAGGCTGTACTCTGCCTCGCGCCAGCCCTGAGTCGCTGCGTACCTACGCGATGCGCGATTGCGCTCCCTCCACACGGTCCAGCCTTATTCATGGCCAGTGATTCGTCGCACTTTTTGTTTTTTTGCGTGTTCTTTCCGTTATGTTTTTTAAGTATAGTGGTCACCGCAACCACCGGCTCTCGGAGAAGCTGGGTGGGCTCTGCTGATACCGATGACCTAAAAACCAAATTTTTACTTGGTTCCCTACACTGTGAGACATGGGCATTGATTGTCCTCTACCGAGCGTGTTATTGTCCGCTTGAGCGATCATTTTTTTCGTATGGCGTTTGGCGCAGATCCGTCCATCGTGACTCGTTAGCCCCGACACGGCAGCCAGCGTACCCCGACGACCTGCTGTCGTTCGGCACGGTGCCCTGAGCTAGGAGCCACCGCAAGGCCTCCCCACAATGCACAATATTTATTTGCACAATACCAGATCCAAAACTGTGCTTACACTGCATTCGGGCCCAAATAAAACAATGATTGTCTAAAGAGTGGAACGTCATGAGGATCCAAGGATGGAAATGTCTCTTTAGGAAGTGTGCTTTTTTGTGTCACTAGTATTTTATAGCTGAAAAAAATCTCCGGGAGAGTTTACTTTTTAATATCAAACAGCTTTTGATGGAAACCTGTCCAGGTGCGAGGGCCAGCGTCAAGATCATGGGTGCTTTCTGCAGGGATGGCAGTGCTGCTGAACGGAGCTGCAGCTCTGCTTCCTGTAAACGAGCTCTATCCAGACCACGTTCATCAGAGGCGCCACCCAGTTCTGAGCACCTGTTCCATTGGTCGTGCAGTATTCTCTTTCAGAGCCGTTGTTTTAGCTCAGGAAAGCGCGCATGGTTGAAGCCTCAATGTTTAGCCGTCTGTCCTCTGACCGAAGGGACTTTCCTTGGCACAGGCTTAGGCAGTCTGTCTTGTCCGGTCGTCGCCTGGTATTTGCCTCCTATACCATTAAAGGGGCGGGTGCGTGGCCAGTTGCTCGTCCAGCCGCACCAGGTGAGGGTCCTGAGCAGACGAGTCTGGGCTACCACAAGCTCGCAGTCCTCCTACTACTGGAGGCACTTTAATTTGTGGAGATAACTTTACCTTGTGACACACACAAAACAAGTACTGTGCATAACATGTTGGTGCCGGTAATTGTTGTGGAAATGTCAATGCATTGACGTTTCCACTGCGATAACGGAGCGCCGTGATGTTGTCTCGTACCCGTGTGCCAGGCACAGTCTTGTACCGGTGTTCGGCCTAGCGCTGTCTTGTACGAGTCTTCTGCCCATTGCTGTCGCATGCCAAACGCTGTGCTCAATGTCGTCTTGTACCAGTGTTGTGCCACCTCTGTGCTTCGTCCTGTCTCGTGTCGTGTTGTTTCCGGCAGCCGTCTGCGCCCCTGTTGTACCAAAATTGTTGTAAGTTGCTCATGCCTTTGTCCTGCTTACGGTGAGAGCGCGTCGCCACCCCGATGCGTGTGTCTGGCCGACAGGTTTAGAGATGCTGAGGTTGAGGAAATGGTCATCGGGGACCTTCTGGTGTACGTATGCCACTGATGTTGCATTGCTCACAACTGGTTTCACTAAAAGAAGGAGTTGCCGTTTAAAAAGTTTGTCCCCACCCTCAGAACTGCATTAATACTCACCGTTTGTGTAACCTTTGAAAGGCTTGCCTCGCGCGCTGGTGATGCCGACCCTTGTACCGCGTGAGGCTGCCCGCACGTTCTACCGCCGCCTGTTTGTAGAACGAGGATCCCCGTTCATGCCGCTCGGCTCGCGGCGCTTCCTGCCGAATTGAAACCGGTGGCGGGGGCTGGGCGCTCGCGAGTGCGGCCCCAGGCTGCGGATGCGCTGCCTGGCGTCGCGGCATGAGGAGTCGCCGGCCCACAGCACCGGGCGGCCCCTGAGCTTTGGCCGTGCGTGTCCCTTGGGCTGGCCGGTGTGCAATGCATGACCGGACTGACTCACTCGAGGATTACATAATACTGAGCCCACGCGTTTGCATGCGATCACCGGCGTGCGTTCCCTGTGATTAAACCGTGTGCATTAACTGTGCCGCTGCCGCGTTGGGAATTTTGCACCACAAAGGGAAGTTGTCTGCTAAGTAAGAGCAGCTTTTAAACAGCTGCACTGGCAGTCACGCCCTCGCAGCAAGAGGGCAGCAGCGGTGTCGCGTCTGCGTCTGTTCTTCCGCCCTGCTGGGCGAGGTGCAGCCCGGCCAGCACGGTTTCCCAGTGTGCCTGTGGGCTTCTTGTCGCCCCGGTGATGGTGCAGCCTCGCCCGAGTGCAACCCCTCCAGCGGAGCCGGAGCCGCATCCACCCCAAGGGAGGAGGGGTGTCAGGCGGACGGTTGCGTGGAGCACGCTTTGAGTGTCACTGGGCCTGGAAGCCGTGCTCTCGGTTAGGTTGCAGCACCACCACGGTGGAGCCGTGTAGGGGGGGGGGGGGGTGTCCCTAACGTGGTGGTGGCCACAGGGCATCATGGTAAAGGAGGGGAGAGCAGGGTGCCGACGGATAACGCGTGGCTTGTGGTCGAGATGGTTTTTTTGCAGAGCAGCCTTCGGGTTTGAGAGGCCCAGTCATTCCGTTGGTGTGCCTTGTTTAACCGAGAGGTGAAACTCATCGAAACTTGTGAAACATTTGGGCCTCTTTTGCAAGGGTGACCTGGATTCCATCAAGACATAAGATAAAATATATTTAAATTTAACAGATCTAGACTACAATTTGAACAATATAATAAAATGTAAATAAGGCTGAATAAACAACGTGCATTGCAATAAAAAAAACAATGTATAACAATATTTATAATATGTACACGTGGGTATTTCTTTTAGTACAAATCGTAGTAGGAGAACGAGTGTGGCGGAGTTTGACGTGAGGGCCACTGCAGGACCAAGGTGGGGGTGGTGGTGACAGGGGGACCGGCTTTTCTGCCGTTGTGCAGCTTGGATCAGGAATGCAAAGCCACATTACAGGGTCCGCATGCGGCGAGAGTCTATTAAACCCGGAAGTGAGCTTTTAACACTAAGACGATCGCCGTTCATTGAGACGCACGTTCCCCCACGCTTCCACTTCACCGAGGCTGTGCGCTGGGTTCCCGAGTCCTACGCCTGCTCCTGCCGTCCACCGCTAACGCGTCGCCGCATTGTGAGAGCCTTCGGTGCGATCACTGTGCCCTCTTTCTGCTAGGCGCTCACGGACACGTGAGCATAACACCATGCGAAAACACTGCCACCGTTGATGTGAGCAGCTAACACTGGTCCCGTGCTGCCGGTCGGTCAGAGCCAAAGCTGGCGCTGAAAACACCTCGTGCCAACAATGGTGTCGTGATGGAGATCTCTGGTGTCCGGTAATGGAGCCGTTTGTCCTTGACTCTCTCGGCTGCTTGCGCTGGGACTGGCTCTGCGGTTGAGTCTGTGCCTATGCGATGCGGAAGATGTGGCTGTAATGATTGTGTTCCCTGCGTCTTTTCCCTCTCTTCCCCGGAATCCCGGAACTCCCTTCACCCCCCCCCCCCCCCGCTCCTTCAATCCTGGCCCCCATCACGGCCGCACTCGTAGTGCCCTACTCGCTCTCCCGAACCCTGGTCCTCAGCCGGGCCGAGTCGCTTGCCGGCTCCCCAGGTAATGCGACGCGCACCTCATGTACCCCACACCCCCCCCTCTACCCACGTGCCCCCCTGTGCCCCCCCCCCCACACCCAGCGCCGCTTGCAGCTGCATGTCCCCCTGTCCATTGGATTCCCATTCGTACCCGAGGTCCACACGCCTGCATTGTTCCATGAGCTCCGTGCTGTTATTAACCAGTCTCTCGCGACGACGCGCCCTTCTCTGCTGTTTCTTTTCTACCCCCTCCAAAAACCTCGCGAGCACGTAGCTCGCCGTGCGCCGAGTTTGTCACAACGCAGGCGAGGGGTGAGGGGGCCGCGGTACGCAGGCCGCGTCTCCATTAGGGCGCCCGTGGCGGCGTGTCGCGTCGAGAGGGTCGCGTTGTGGCGCGTTTTTGCGCTTGCATGCGTGTTCATCCCACCCCACGGTGTGTCGGCGCATCGTACTTGCGTTGCGCAAATTAAAGTGGGTGTGTTTTTAATACATTTCTTTTGCTGGCTGTTTGTGCTTTGCATTTTGTGTTGTGTCTTTCTGGCTGCGAAGTAGTGGAACAATGTGGAGGTCAGTACCCGGAAATTTAATGCCCCCTTCCCCCCCCCCACCTCACTGACCGGTTACGCAGTCACCAACGCCTGCCAGTGCCCCCCACCCCCCCTCCCCTCCACAAGTATCTCCTTTGTCTTTGTCACCCTGTCCGCTGTACAAACCCGCACGCTGTTGATCCGTCGATTTTTAGCCGTACTCGTCCATGGGTCCCCAGGCTGAGCTGTCGGGGCCAACGGGGCCACTGGTCTGAGCAGTTGCTCGCAGCGCATATTGGATGGGTGCACTGCTGGATGATTGAAGTCCAAGGCGGTCGGGGGTTATGCACTGCTAGCCAGGAGTCGTGCCAATTGCCTTGCTCTAATGGCGCCAATTACCCGTGTAAAAATACTTTCATGATTGACGGCTTCCTCTCAGTTCTCAGTAGTAGAACTGATGATCCCGACCCGTACGCCGGGAACGCCGCTTGTTGTGCCAGTGACCGCCCCACAGTTAACCCCTGTCTCTCGGCCACGCGCCGACAGAAAACTCCATTGTCGTTTTTGTCGCAATGCGTTTTCTCGGCAGTGAATCCATCGCCATCGCACAGCTTGGCCCTGAACCGCTCGGACTCCCTGAACCGCACAGAGCCGACGGGCGGCAGCAACAACCAGCTCAACATCCCGCTGCTGCAGCCCTACGTGCCCGACTATTGTGTGCATGCCGTCACCGACCTGCAGTACGTGAAGGTGAGGCCACCGCGACGCTCGTGCGTACGGCGGCGATGCCGTTGTTGCCCCGCGGTTGCCGTTCCCCCCCCTCCCCCCGTCATCCCCTTGTGTGCCGGGAGGTGACCCGAGCGTGCGTGCGCACGTCACCCGCAGATCACACGGCAGCAGTACTGGAATGCGATGGCGGCCTCCAAGCTGGACAGCTCTCCCCACTCCCCGGACACGGCGGACGGTAGCCCGCCAACGTCCGCGCGCGAGCTGTCCAACTCTGTGCACAACGAGACGGCCCACCTGCTCAACGAGCACAACTGTGTGGCGCGTAAGTCGGCGCAGGGCTCCTACACCGAGAGCTCAATATAGGAGAGCTGCGCTGCAGAGACTTTCCCTAACGTGGAGAGAGAGGAGGGGGGGAGAGAGTGTAACGTTAACGAATCGCAGCGGTAATGATAATTTAAAAAAACAAAAACGACACGTATTTAAGAGACTTTTTCCCCCCACGCCTGCCACCCACCGACCCAGCACGTGCATGCAGCACTGAGCTAATCGGGAAGTTTTAACGAGCGAAGAACGGCAGGACTGACGATTTCGGCGCCGCCGAGCGGCACGCCGCGGCCCCGCTTGCTTTGTCTTTGACTGCTGCCCCGTGTGGTCGTCGTTCCCCTCCTCCGCCTGCTCGCCGCCGCCGCCTGGTGATTCGGAAAGGCAGCCGTCGCACACGCGCTCTCTCGTGCCGCCGCCGCCAACATCGAAACCATGCATCGCTGCTGATTGTACCGGCTTGTGAGTCTCCTTGCCTGAGCCAAAAAACGTGTTATACCAAAGATACGCTATTACGGTGACAGAATTTAAACGGGACGTCTATGCAGTAAGTTATATTGGAAAAACATAACACCCGACCGACCTCACGGTTAAAAATTACGTTTCGACCCACGGACGGCACGTGTCTGTCCGTACGGGTGCATTTTACGTACCGTAATGTGTAACTCGTACGTGTACACGCACGACTGTAAAACGTGTGCGGCGTCGAGCTGCCGTGTGGCTGGCTGCAGGCAACAGAGAATGTGAAGGGCTGCTTGTTTGTTTTTTGGGAGCAGTAACGAACACAGGCGGTCCGGGGGCATGCTCGCCCGAGTGCTCTTTACGGCTTGTCCTCGTTTTTAATTGACTAACATTTTAAGCTGCTGTGTTGGACACCGAGTTGGCATGCTGGAATTGTGAATGTACCCTAACGAGCTTAAGAGAATGAATGTAAGTTGATCTGGGGTGAGCTCGCCGTGTGTGGTTCGGCCCTCCAGTTAAGGCATTGTGCAATTTCATTTTTTGCCGACAACTTTGTGAAAGTGCTCTGCAAAACGGCGACGTAAGTGAGCAATTGGCGTGGACGTGTCGGTTCGCCAGCCGCTAGTTGCAGCGCGCTGGGAAGAGTGACGGGGGGGGGGGGGAAGGTGGGGTGGGTGGTGGTGGCTGTGCGCTTCGCAGGCCGCTCAGGAGCTGCGCTCCGGCCTGCGTCAGCCAGGTTGCCAGGCCGCGTGCCATACGGCACTGCGTGCCAGCGCTGCTAGGGGTTGTGACGATGGGAGGGGGGGCGGGGAGCGGGGTGGGGGGGCATTGTGGCGACGCCGTCCCGGTGACTCCTTTCGCCCAGTAATTGGAAGTTGCTGATGAGTGCTTAAATCTCAAACGCGCGGCGATGAGAATCAAAGTGTCAGGCGTCGTGGTATTGGACAAAGGCTTCCGAGATGTTTCACGCTCACGAGCGTTGTAGTGGAAGGCAGCGCAATACTAGCTGCTCACGTAGGAATGCAAATTGTCTTATAGACGTCCCCTCGAGAAGGACTTTAGCTTAAATTGGCTGCGTAGAAGTAGAGGTTTTTTTTTTCCCATGTTCATTTATTTATTGTTTGTTTGGGGGGGCAGGGCAGAGTTTAATATAAGCAGTGATTTTTAATGAAGCAATGGTGGGGTGGGTGTGTAGGCCAGGGGGCGAGGTTTTTGTCTGCTAATGTGGGGGGCTTCGCCCCCTTGCTGTGTATTTACCCGACCTACAGTGTGGTAGTTATACATATTTTTGTGCAAAATCCTGTACCTAATTGTACCTAAGCATAATAACGTTTTATCAGATTACCTGATGTCTGTAAATAGTTAATTCTCGTCAGAAATAGCCACAGAATGGAGCATATGTTCATTTAATGTTATGTATTTAAAGTTTAAACTATTGGGTTGTTTTTCCACGTCTGATGTGAATGCATAAGGGTGACTAGCAGGTTAATGGCACCGCGCGTAGAGTAACGTGTACTAAATCCATTGCTTTGTATATGCTGTAATAAACACGTACCATTTTGGTTAACTGGTGCACCGTGTGTCCCTGTCGCGCGGCCATGCTCGCTTGGGGTGATGGCGCCGCGATGCACCCCGTCCGCTCCATCCTCCTCCTCATCGCTGCCGCCATTGTCGTCACTGTCGCTGTCCGCGCAGCGTATAGAGGCGCCGCTCGGTGCGGTGTTGCACCGGCTGCAGTTTTTGTCAGTTGGGGGCAGTGCCTTTGATTTCGAGGTGTTTATTGGACAGTCGCTTCATCAAAAACGAGTGATATAATCCCCAGAAGAAAGTTAAACTCCGAAATTCCTATCAAATGAATGTAATATTTGCTCAACGCAATTTCTAACTTTAACGTCGGGCATGGGGTTTGCGTGCGCGCCCGCCCGCCCGCCAGCCAGCCCTAAATCAGGTCAGGGTGCAGGTTGGGTAACGCTTGCCCTGACGGCTAAATGTCTAACTCCAACGTGATTTATTGATGAACCTGCACACATGTTGACTACTAACCCCCCCCGCATCTTCCCTGCAGTGACGCTTGGCGGCGTCGCTGCACTCAGCGCGTGAGCGTCCGGTGCACGGCAGCGTTGTTGAGAGGCATGGGTGTGCATCTCCACTTCTTACCTTCCCCGATTTGAGATGCAATCGCTGACAGCGTCTAAAGTGGATGTTCCATACTTCCGGTTCTCCTCTCTCCTCACCTACCCCTCTCATCACCGACCCCTGTCTTCTGTTCTTTCTCCCCCTCCTCACAACGCAACTGCTCACCTGTCCCTCACTCTCCTTGTTTGCTTCCGTCTCCCTCTCCTCACCTGTCCTCGCGTGTGTGTGGCCACCGCCTTGTGAGGATGTGTGTGTGTGTGCACGCGTGTGTGTGTGTGTGTACATTTCTTGTCTTGCAGAAGGTAAACAGGCCAGCCCGGATGGCCACACTGATGTGTTGATCGCCATTCCTGAAGAGTTCAACAGAAAGGGTACCCATGATGCAGCACTGAACGTGTGCGTGCGCGTGTAATGTGTGTGCATGATTGTGTTTCCAAGTGTGGTTCAGTAGTGCAGTAGTTGGGGCACTGTGCATAGACCTAGTGATTTGTGTTCACTTTCTGCTCACGGCCAACATCAGTAACGAATCGGCCATGGGTCTTCTGCGGCGTGTGTAACCATCAGCACTGGGTAGACAGACGGCTGGGCCTGGTTCCGGCCGCTCCACCCCTGAGTGTGCCGTGCCGGCATTCATCGGTGCTCATTAACAGCACTTGCTCCAAAAGCCTGAAAAGCCTATATGATGCATCTGTCTTTGTTTATAACTGTGTGAGAGAAAATTAGAGAATGTATGTAAACTAATTACCCTGCTGAAGGAAATTATTAAACAAGTAGCATCGTGTTTAACAGGCGGTTGCGTTAATAGGTGTGCTGTTAATGTCCATTCGGGTTCGGTGCAATTTGCATATATTGGAGCTAAAGCTGCTCGAAGATAATTCGTTGAAAGGCAATGGTCTGTTTTCACCAAATAAAAAATAAATGGCATTTAGCCCCATAAGCCCATAGGCCTTTTGGGCCATTGTTTTCCAGCAGAATATTTTTATTCGGGTGCTCTGGCCAAGTTTTTGCTCGCTGAGTCTCATCGGCAGATCATGACTCATGAGATTTAGATTTGATGAGGCTCATAATTTGAAACCAGGAAAAGTTTACTATTTTAGCAACTGCTGCTGGAAAACGTGGGTTAAAAAGGCATGTAGGCTGATGCAGAAAGTGTAATTTTGATTTTACTGTGGTGAAGCTGACCACGGTCGATGATTGCATTGCGCCCCACACATTATCCACCGTGACAGTGCGTAGCAAACTCCGTATGATGCTGATAGCAATAACGTGAACGTACCAGGCTTCAGGATGAAGCCTGGTACGTTCAGGATGAAGCCTGGGGGGAGAGGGGTCCACTGCTTTTAAAATAAATTGCTTGGACCTAATGAGAACCTTTGGCGTCCCACTGGTCCGAGCTGCACGTGTGACCACAAAAGGGCCACGGTGGTGGGATTTTAACTCCCTCGCCTCGTATACAGGATTGTGTGGGTTCGACCCTGACGCCTGCATATTTGGAGTTTGCATGTTCTCCCCGTGGTCGCGTGGATTTTTCTCCCGGTCCTACAGTTTTTCCCTCTACATTTAGATTCAACGTGCGTTTAGAGTATTTGGCTGCTATAAATTTCCACACGATAAGCCACTTAGTTGAGCTCTTCTGAAAAAAGAGCTATATAGCTCAGTGGGCCTTTCCTGGTAAATTTTTTTTTTTAAATAGTTTGGTTTAGAGACGCAATGAGTCACAAAAGCTCCACGTCGGTTCCAGGCCAAGTAGGCACAGTGACTGACCCCTCTTCACAGTGACCGTTTAAATATAGTTTAAGATTTAAATGGTAAAGTAAAACCATCATGAGGAATCGGGCTACGTGTTAAATACCACTACCCTCAATCCATTGAAGCCAAGCAGAGGATGAGGGTTCAAGCCAAAGTGCCGTGGGACAAGGCTCGGTGCTTTAAACCTGCCGTGACGTAAGAATCTAAATTAGAAGTGCCGCGCTTAACGGTGCCGACGGCGCAGAGGCACGGAGAAGCACTTAGGCGGAGACGCCCAACACGTCGCCTACGCAGTTGTGTGTTCAACAAGATCTCGGCTGTTGCGAGGACCACCATGACCTTGCTCAACCATTCGTGCCACAGCACATCGCATCCCTCTGACAGTGAAGAATCCATAGCCACAATAGAGTACATTTTACTGTGAAGGTGGCGCAACGCACAGAGCGGTGCTGTATGGTCCACAGACGGAGTCGGCAGAGGGGCCGCTGAGAGTGGCGGCGGCGGCGGTCGGGCTGGTAGTGTGGTGCGGAGTGGAGGCCGGGCCGGGGCAGTGGCGGACGCAGAAAAGTCTCCCTTGGACGAGGACGGCCACGAGTCGATGGGGAAGAAGCTGATGCGCCATCTGAGTGAGTTGCCTACGCCCCGGTCTTATTTTCTCCCCCGCCCCTCCCGCTTGGCGAAGAGCACGCAAGGAGTTTGCTTAAAATTCTGGAGGTGTAAAATAGCTTGCGTACAAGACCATTATTTAACGGAGTCTTATTTTTTTCCTGGTTACCTCCACAATGTGCCAGAGACGTTGCAAAGCGAAATTTCCATTCAGAACTTAAAGAACCTGGAGTGCAGGGTCACATTATGTTCAACAACGACCCCAGAAAAAAACGGCGCAGAACCGCTTCTGAAATCTCTCCAATGGGCTTCTTTACCCCCAGCTAGGGGGACGCACTTCTTACCTGCAAAGAGGCTTTGATGCATGGGATTTTTTTTTTATTATTCGTCCTGAGAGGAGCGGTTCCCAATCTGTGCGGTGCTCTGCAAGGCCCTGGCAAGTGTCCTTGGAGCCGTGAAGGTGCAGTTTTTGTTCACAAGACACCGTATTCTGCATATTGCACGGCTATTTAGAGTTTATTCCCGACTCGTCAAGTGACTGCTGATTGCTGCCATTGTTGAGTGACATCATTCAATATGCAATTTCTGCGTGGTGATCTGTGGGTCCAGAAATAGAGAACCGCTGCCTTAAAGCATAAATATACAAAAATGTGTCAAACAACTTTGACAACTTACCAAGTCATTCGGTAAACGGGTTGATAAAAGGAACTCGTCACGTTGCAGAGCCCTCATGGTTAACGGGTGTTTTGATTTAAACCTACCATCTCGGCAGTGCCAACTCGGCTCCGGCAATGGTTATACAGCCCCGACAGAAGTAATCGCTCAATCAGCTGCTGGGCATTGCTGTTGTAGCAGGGCTATATCGTGGCTTTTTAGGTGAGTGGCCCTGAAGGATGTCGCGGTGGCTGTTTCTGCGGCGTGTGCAGGTGGCAGGAGGAGTAAGAAGAGCCGCGAGCGGGAGGATTGGCTGCAATCCGAGGCGTTTTAGGCTGCCGCCCGTCACCACTCGCCCGCTCCCAGAGCGGACCCGAGTGTGGCACGTCGCTCGGCATGGTCACTTCTACAGAGGCCGCTCCGCTGCATGGGAGTCATCACAGCAGAGGGAGAGCATCTGTATGCAGCGGGGAAACTCAGTGGTGCCACCCTCTGATTAAGGGGCATTGCGAATAATCACTCGCTTATTGAGAATTGTTGATAATTCTCATTCTGATTGGAAATGTAAAGAACCGACAAGTGTACACGTACAGACGCACACTCTGACACACAGTGGCACATTACCACGCACACAGTCAACCACGTCTAAACTGGTGTCAGTGCAGCTTCAGTGGGTGATGGTTGCTGTAGCTGGCTCTTGGTAGCTATAATTGTTGGTTGCTATGTGTATCCTGCATTACTGCACAAGATTGACGTAACAAGGCTGGCCTACATAATTGTATATGCTTCAGCTCTTGGGGTCAAATAAAAATAAATGAATGTAAAATCATTGGCAGAGTGCATGTGTACAAAACAGAATTCCCTTTAATGCAAGCAGCCACCCGCACGCTCCTAGATTTGGGAAAAAATGAGAGAACAAGAGATAGTGAGGTTTTATCGGCCTCGGTGAACTTTGTGTGTGTGTGTGTGTGTAGCTATACACGCGCACACACAGTAGCACACGCAGTGCATTTACTGCTGGTGTACATATAGGATATATTCTTTACCTTAACGTAGTACGTTTGTGTATATAATGCATGTGTGCACATATACACTTAGCGCGTGTATGTGTGGGGAGGTCAAATGACGCACACAACGGCAATATTGTGGACGTTCGCCATTTGAGGAATTTTTGGTTTTTATCACCGGTGGCCGCAAGGGCTGAGGGGTGTGGGTGTTGTGGGGGCTGTGGCGGGGGGGAAGGACGGACATGTCGGTGCCACGCTGCCCTCGGCTTGCCAAATGTTTTGCCTTTTTAAAAAAAATTATCGCTCCACGCTGTAGAAATCTTCAACCAAAATTATTACATTTGTCACCCATGTTGTTTTTAAAACGTTTAAGCGGATGCTGCGAGTGAGTTTGTCAGGTTCCTGGTGAACGCGCTCGCCGGAGACCTCCGGGAGCGCGGCAGTTTGTGTGCGGCGTGGAGCTCTGCGCGTCTAGAGGATGGTGAACCCTGAAACCCGGTGCATTGCCTGGACCGGTCTCGACGTTTCCGAGTGGAGCCCAGCGGGGATGCCGGATCACGGCCACGCCTGCCGCGTGTTGCTGGGAGTGTTCGCTCGTCGTCACCGAGACTGTCGACGGGGCTTTGCCCACCCCCTGCGAGATCCCTGGGAGTCGGCTGGGGTTGGCGGGGGGGTCTAGGCACGCGCAGGGCTCCACTTTTTGTGCGTGTTTGTTTTGGGGCTTGGCATTGCCAGCCTCGGGTTTTTGTGCCACGGCAAAGGCAGCTGGTGTGTGATGTAAAACCGCAGAAAACGCGACCCGGCAGCCTGGGCCGGGCGGTCGAGAGTTGCTACCATGTGCAGCTAAGCACACAAGGCCGGACCGTCATGGTGCTAGACTTTGACATGTCCTTATACCCAGTCCAAACGCCTTAATTGTGTTTGACTTTGCAAATCGCAATACACGTGTGTGTATATGTGCACTGTATGTGTACTTATGCATGTGCATGTGTTTTGCATGTTGCACATGGAATCATTCTCTTGATGGCACATTGCCATTGATCATACGGGCCCTGTGCAGGAGACAGTGCCGCAGATTTATATTCGTAACCCTTATTTAAGGATCAATATTTAAAAACGTTGCGGTCTTTTGCAATCTTGTACTTCAGTCTATTTGGGAAATGTGCGCAGCCTTCGGATATCCGGCTGGTCCGACTGAACGTCGTGTGGGCCGATGCCAGGGACCTGTCTGTGTGATAATCCACCAAGGCCGACCGCAGTCGACTCAGGAACCCCCCTCTCCATTCTCGCATCCCTGCTCGCGGACTCGGCCCCACGCCCCATACCACAGGGCTCCTATGGGAACAGATTGGCAAGTGCGGGTCCGCTCCAGAAATATGATCGTGTGACGACGCTGCTTCACGGGAGCCTTAAATAGTGTTCTGTCGTGTATAGGAGGCCCTTTAAACGTAACGTGGCATTGTCACAGTTGGGTCGCTGTCTAAACACAAGTGTTATATTGTGGGGTATCTCAGCGCAGCAAGACTGTGTACAGTGTTATCTTGTGTCTGGAGTGCCATGAAGTATTATGTCATGTGTGTCCGGATTCCTACACACAACACGGCGGTGTCACGCGTCTGGGGTCCACCTCACGGTGCTGCGGAGTCTTTGATGGCAAATCCACCACCACCGAGTGATGTTATGACGATTTATTTACGCATCTTTGTCAAACCACCAACTTTCCGTGGTGATCGTGGGGAGGGGGGGGTTGTTTCATTAGAATTCACCATGATGGCCATTGCGAGTTGGTGAAGTGATGGGGCGCCCGAGACCGGTTCAGATATCACTCGCCACCTGGTGTGAGTCATGGCTGGCAATTCAACTCGGGTCACCAGATTCAGTGCAGTGGTGTGAACCAGTGCTGCATTGTGCCACGTGTGATGTATGGGTCAACGGACGTGATGCCATGCTGTTTTTGTGTCAAGCTCATCTCAAGGGAATAAAGAGTAACATCTGAAGCACTTGTGCGTTGCTTTGGGGAGAAGTTTTTTGCCGAGCGTGGGCGAGACAGAGATGCCGAGTGTTTAAACTTGCACGTTCACAGCCAAATGGCGTCACACGTGAAGCGGTTTGCATACACGAATGAAGGTTTTTTTCTATCCCTTGTTCAAATAACTCACGGCTGATGTGGCGCCTGTAAACCTGAGGGGCACAGCTGCAGGTAAAGATTCGGGATTTGAAACAGTGAAATAAAAAGATACTAAGGTACAAATCATGTTTCTCAAACCAAAATCGTACAGCAGATGTAAAATTCCCACGTTTCGAGTAAAAACGTGGGTGGCTTTTTTTCCAACCGAGCCAGAAATATATTTGGCCCTTTTTCGTCGGCCTCGTGCAGCCTCTGCCACAAAATCCTCGAAACGGTTTCAGCAGCGCGCCGCGAGTTGTGTGCACCGTGCGCTTTGTAAAGCTGAAACCCCTGGCCAGAGTTCAGGTGGGTTCCCATGCTCGATATGATGAAGCCGCGTGGCATCTGAGTGAACTTCCTCACTGCAATGGTTACTGTTTCTCATTGGTTTAATTTCACCTGACTGTTGATGAGACACTGAATGTCCAAACCTGCCCAGAGTTTGCTCGTGTTAAAACAATGCTGGTGAAATTATTTCCCCGTGTGACCGATGGGATATAAACAAAACACGTATTTGTTAATGTGGGGGGACAGATATGGGAAGGGGGGGGGGGGCGTACGTATTGTCTGCTTCTATATATGCGACATTATTGGCAGTATCAAAATTATGAAAAAATAAGAATAGGTTTTATCCTTTCTGGCAACAAAACAGGTGTTACACCACAGATACCTTTTGCAAGGCATCAATTCTGCATTAACCACGCGTACTTGTGGCAAAACATGCTCTGATAATATCCACAGTCTTTGCAACTGATTGGTCTACTCCAGAGGACAGCTTTCTTAATCGCCTTGTCTCACTAGTGTTAGACCAGAGGACGTCCAAAGGGAAACGGCGCAAAGACGAAGCAAGTGTCAGTGCATTTATCGCTCGGGTTGAGCAGTGTATTATCTGCTTATATAATGTCTCTTTCCACAACGACGCGGATAATTATTTCGTGTCGTACTTTCCCGATGGTTCTCGCGCCGTCGCCAATCGGCGCGGTTCGACTCGAGTGTGATGGCATTGATGAGTCCCTTCCAGAGCAGTCGTGACTTTCTCCCTGAGCTGGACAGGAAAGATGTCGTTTTTGTGGTCCTGTGATTTCTCGAGGCGCCTGTCTCTCCGTCTCAGCCGTTTTGATCACGACTCAGCTGCTGCTTCTATTGCGCCATCAAGTTAAACAAACCCACGCGACCTCCACAACCTCCACACAGTGCCGTCCATTGTAGCCGTAGAGGAGTCGCACGAATCGAGTGTTCGCTTGGCCACGCCTCTGCGGTCTTGGCATCTTAATAAACACAGCCTCCATTAATACAAATAATAGTTTATCTTTACGACCTCGATTTGTCATTAAACAAATAGGCAGATCATTCTTCACATATGTCCCTCCAAATAAAAAATAATTTATTTTACACATCCCATCGGCCACGTCTTGGGTTTTGCTAATGGAAAAATGCATTGGAGCAGTTTCGACAACCCTCGTCTCATCAGCAGTCAGGCTTGCTTGAACCAATGCTGGTAACCTGCTAGATGTTTATTGGCAAGGAGCAAGTTATTTATTGCGCTTGGTGGCCCTGGACAGCCATCCCTGACAAGTGAATCTCAATGCTTTTTCTGGGTTTTTTCCACTAGGTGGGCAATGTTGTTCCGATATGAAATCCCAGCATTGGGGTGTTATTATTGGCCAATTTCACAGTTTTACATGGGGGACCTCCTGATTCGTGGCGCAAGATTATAAATTACAAAACACAAAATGAGAAATAGCGTTCCTCGGAGGCCCCATTCAGTGCGCAGGCAGGTGCAACTGCACCGGGGAGCGAATTAGCACAGAGGGCCCCCATTAAATTCCTGGCCACAGGGCTCTTCTGCTCTACGAAGCACCGGTCCACGTGGCTGCGCTCAGAGGCAACAACTACAGCGGAGAGAAATGAGAGACCCCCAGGTACCCCCTCGGTCCCCCGTCGTGCCCCGGGATAACTCCGCGACTCGGACCGCCGGGGCCATTGGGCTGCCTGCCGGGACCCGCGGGAGCTCGACTGGTTGAGGTTGCTCCGACGTCCCTACGCCAGGGGGCGCACGGGGCCTCGTGGGGGGGGGGTGGACGCTGCTGGGTCTCCCGCCTCCCGGTGCCGCCTCACCGCTTCGGCCGACCTCGTCGATTCGGAACCACCACCCCACCACCCTCTTGGCTCCGCCCAGAGGCCGCCACGTACGAAGGGGGAGTGGCGCGGGAACCCGCGGGACCCCGCCAGTGTCCGCGACGCCGCGGTCGCAGGGGGCCCACGGCGAGCGAGGGGGCCCACGGCGAGCGAGGGGATGGTGCGGAAGGCGGAGCGCGAGACCCTGCAGCTGATCGCCGAGGTGGCCGTGCGAGTTCTGCTGTTTGGCGTCTTCTGGTGAGGACTCGATGAGGTGGTGCTGGTGGAGAGGGTTGCCACGTGTCCGGAGTTTGCTTGCTGTGTACCGAGACGTGGTGGTGGTGGTATTGTGCTGAGCTGTCGGATCGACTTCGCCCAGAAGTCGGCAAAACCTGCGGCTCTTTCAGGACTGCAGTGCGGCTCTTGAAATGAAAAAAAACCATCTTATTTTGTTTGCCGGCCCCTGACCATAGAAGTCCAGTACACCATGGTAGTCCAGTTTACCATGGGAGTCCAGTTTACCATGGGAGTCCAGTTTACCATGGGAGTCTGGTTTACCATGATAGTCGGGTTTACCATGGGAGTCCAGTTTACCATAAAAGTTCAGTACACCATGGTAGTCCAGTTTACCATGGTAGTCCGGTTTACAATGTGAGTCTAGTTTACCATGATAGTCCAGTTTACCATGGTAGTCCAGTTTACCATGCAAGTCCAGTTTACAATGTGAGTCCAGTTTACCATGGTAGTCCGGTTTACCATGGGAGTCCAGTTTACCATGGTAGTCCGGTTTACAGTAGGAGTCCAGTTTACCATGGGAGTCCAGTTTACCATGGGAGTCCAGTTTACAGTGGGAGTCCAGTTTACCATGTGAGTCCAGTTTACCATGGTAGTCCAGTTTACCATGGGAATCCAGTTTACTATGGGAGTCCAGTTTACAGTGGGAGTCCAGTTTACCATGGGAGTCCAGTTTACTATGGGAGTCCAGTTTACAGTGGGAGTCCAGTTTACCATGGGAGTCCAGTTTACAGTGGGAGTCCAGTTTACCATGGGAGTCCAGTTTACCATGGTAGTCCGGTTTACAGTGGGAGTCCAGTTTACCATAGGAGTCCAGTTTACCATGGTAGTCCGGTTTACAGTGGGAGTCCAGTTTACCATGGTAGTCCAGTTTACCATGGTAGTCTGGTTTACCATGGTAGTCCAGTTTACCATGGAAGTCCAGTTTAACATGGTAGTCCAGTTTACCATGGAAGTCCAGTTTACCATGGTAGTCCAGTTTACCATGGTAGTCCGGTTTACAGTGGGAGTCCAGTTTACCATGGTAGTCCAGTTTACCATGGTAGTCTGGTTTACCATGGGAGTCCAGTTTACCATGGGAGTCCAGTTTACCATGGTAGTCCAGTTTACAATGGGAGTCCAGTTTACCATGGGAGTCCAGTTTACCATGGTAGTCCGGTTTACAGTGGGAGTCCAGTTTACCATGGGAGTCCGGTTTACAGTGGGAGTCCAGTTTACCATGGTAGTCTGGTTTACCATGGTAGTCTGGTTTACCATGGGAGTCCAGTTTACCATGGAAGTCCAGTTTACCATGGTAGTCCAGTTTACCATGGAAGTCCAGTTTACCATGGTAGTACAGTTTACCATGGTAGTCCGGTTTACAGTGGGAGTCGAGTTTACCATGGGAGTCCAGTTTACCATGGTAGTCCAGTTTACCATGGAAGTCCAGTTTACCATGGTAGTACAGTTTACCATGGTAGTCCGGTTTACAGTGGGAGTCCAGTTTACCATGGTAGTCCGGTTTACCATGGTAGTCTGGTTTACCATGGTAGTCTGGTTTACCATGGGAGTCCAGTTTACCATGTGAGTCCAGTTTACAATGGGAGTCCAGTTTACCATGGTAGTCCAGTTTACCATGGTAGTCCAGTTTACCATGGAAGTCCAGTTTACCATGGTAGTCCAGTTTACAGTGGGAGTCCAGTTTACCATGGGAGTCCAGTTTACCATGGTAGTCCAGTTTACCATGGTAGTACAGTTTACCATGGTAGTCCGGTTTACAGTGGGAGTCCAGTTTACCATGGTAGTCCAGTTTACCATGGTAGTCTGGTTTACCATGGTAGTCTGGTTTACCATGTGAGTCCAGTTTACAATGGGAGTCCAGTTTACCATGGGAGTCCAGTTTACCATGGTAGTCCAGTTTACCATGGTAGTACAGTTTACCATGGTAGTCCGGTTTACAGTGGGAGTCCAGTTTACCATGGTAGTCCAGTTTACCATGGTAGTCTGGTTTACCATGGTAGTCTGGTTTACCATGGTAGTCCAGTTTACAATGGGAGTCCAGTTTACCATGGGAGTCCAGTTTACCATGGGAGTCCAGTTTACCATGGTAGTCTGGTTTACCATGGGAGTTCAGTACACCATGGGAGTCCAGTTTACCATGGACAAGGGTCGACAACTTACGGCTCTGGAGCCGCATGCGTCACATTAATGACTGTTCGGGACGTTTTTTTATTGTAATGAGCGACTTCCGCGACACGTCGTGTAGAGGGCACTCTTCTTTATTCCACGTACGGGCACAGCACAGGCCAACGTTATCGGCTTCCTCTCCAAGTACACGCTTAGATATGAACGTTCTACAGACTACACACACGGTCGATCACACGGCGGGTTCCACCCGTCCGCTCCCGGTCTCGCCGCTGGCTGACGGCGTGCCGGGGGGGG